ACGGCTGTCATATGCCCTTCTAAGGACAGCCGCGCATCCAGGAGGACACCCAAGTTGCGGGCCCTCTCTGTGGGGGCCAATGATTCGCCCCCAATAACCAGCGATGGCGTCAGCTGGCTATACCGGGACGCCGGCAGCCACAGCCACTCGGTCTTGGAAGGGTTGAGTCGAAGCCTGTTTCTCCCCATCCAGACCCGCACGGCCTCCAGGCACTGGGACATCACTTCCAAGGCATCATTGGGATGGTCTGGGGTGGAAATGTACAGCTGAGTGTCATCAGCGTACTGATGGAACTCCACCCCAAAACCACGGATGATCTCACCCAGCGGCTTCATATAAATGTTGAACAGGAGGGGCGAGAGGACCGACCCTTGCGGCACCCCACAAACAAGGCGCCTTGGGGTCGACCGCTGCCCCCCTGTCAACACAGATTGCGACCGGTCGGAGAGATAGGAGGAGAACCACCGCAAAACAGTGCCCCCCACTCCCAGTCCCTCCAGCCGGCGCAACATGATACCATGGTCGATGGTATCAAAAGCCGCTGAGAGGTCTAATAGGACCAGGATAGAGGAATAACCCCTATCCCGGGCCCTCCAGAGATCATCCACCAACGCGACCAATGCCGTTTCCGTGCTGTACCCAGGTCTGAAGCCGGACTGGAGCGGATCCAGATAGACAGCTTCATCCAGGTACTGGGGAAGCTGTCGCGCCACCACACTCTCAACAACCTTCGCAATAAAGCGAAGGTTGGAGACTGGACGATAGTTAGCCAAAATAGCCGGATCCAGGGATGGCTTCTTGAGGAGAGGCCTCACCACCGCCTCTTTCAAGGCGGCCGGCAGGACACCCTCGCTCAAAGAAGCGTTAATAATCCCCTGGAGCCAGCCTCGTGTAACCTCCCGGGAAGCCAGCACCAACCAGGAGGGACACGGGTCCAATAAACATGTGGTTGCGTTCAGCCGTCCCAAGATCCTGTCCATGTCCTCGGGAGCCACAGGATCGAACTCCTCCCAGATAACACTCTCAAGGCCTGCCTCAGTCATCTCGTCTGAACTAACCCAGTCGGCGGCCAAGTCTTCCCGAATCTGAGTTATTTTATCATCCAGATACTGTACAAAATCCTCAGCTAGGCCCTGCAAGGGGTCCTCCCGCGCTCCCAGATGGAGGAGGGAGCGGGTCACCCTAAACAGGGTGGCTGGGCGGTTATCTGATGACGCGATAAGAGCGGCAAAATAGCTAGATTTCGCCGCTTTTATCGCCACTAGGTAGGTCTTAATATGAGACCTTACCAGTGTCAAGTCAGACTCGGAACGACTGGCCCTCCAACTGCTCTCTAGGCGTCTTTTCCGGCGCTTCATCTCCCTCAGCTCCTCGGAAAACCAAGGAGCTAAGTGAGTTCGGTGCCGGGTCAGAGGCCGCAAAGGCACGACCCGGTCCAAAGCCCCGGCAGCCGCCCTATCCCAGGCGGCCACCAGGTCATCAGCCGAGTCATGAGCTAGAGTCTCAGGAAATGGCCCAAGCTCCATCTGGAACCTATCAGGGTCCATCAGGCGCCTGGGGCGGAACCACCTGGTCGGTTCCGCCTCCCTGCGACGGGGTACGGCGGTCAGAAAGTTAGTTAGTTAGTAGACGCAAGTGAAGCAGACTGGCACATTGAAATACAATACTATGGAGATACTCAAGCTACAGAAGAGAGAGTGTCGTACAAGAAATACTACTCAGCCTTTCTCCTATCAGCTGTGTTAGCCCCATATCTATTGAATTGTTGTGCAATTTATTCAATCACGCATACCGTACTTTTCAGAAAAAGACACACTTCCTACTCCCCTAAAAGTGGGTGAAAATGGCGGTGCATCTTATACACTGAATGTTGCCGAAGCCCCGCCCACCTGCCAACCCCCACCCTTTGGTTGTTTTCGGCCTCTGTGCATTGCATTTTTGGCCAGTTCCAGGCGGCGAATAGACTGCACTGAACAGGCCACGGCGGTGAATGGGCCATGCCAAACGGGCCATAGCAGCAGCAAATGAGTGGTGGCAAATGGGCCACGTTGAACGGGCCACATCGGCGGCAAACAGGCCGCACCGAACGGGCCGTGGTGGCAGCAAATGGGTGGTGGCGAATCAGCCGTGGTGAATGGACCATGGCAGTGCTGAATGGGCTGCAGCAGTGCCGAATGAGCCACAATGAATGGGCCAGATGAATACCGGATGGATGCTGGGAGGTAAATATTTTTTTACCTTCCAGCATCGAGATTTTTTTTTCTTGTTTTCCTCCCCCAAAAAGATAGGTGCGTCTTATAGTCCGGAACGTCTTATACTCCGAAAAATATGGTACTTTAAAAGTCAGGTTCCACTCAAGAGTGCTAATCAGCCCAAAACCTATATTTAAAGTTATGACAGTTGTGTTAAACTCCCAGTCATATTAGCAAAACCAGTTCAGAAGTGTAACATTCCCTTAGAATAGTTTCTCAGCTATTCTCAGCAACTTTAAGCTGTGTAGGCTTCAGCCTCCGGAATTCCCCAGCCATTGTTAGAACAAAAGAGAGCAAAATTAAGGTTTGATCTGCTACTTCAAAAATGCTGAGACTTGAAGTGAATGAAGTTCAAAGCAAAGCAGGAAGTTGTATTAGGCAAGCATGTCAAGTCCATATCATAAAGATTCTCTTGGAATTATCTGGCTTATATGATGTCTCTGTGTAGAGAAGTTAAATTGCAATGCTGTGTATCATCTATAAAAGCTCCAGAAGCTATGGAAAAGTCATATTGTCAGCTGGATTTCCAGCATGGCTTTCTAAAGCTTGCTTGCTCTTGGCAGCCTTAGAAATAGGGAGAGGATCCTGGGGATTTAGGTTGGGGAAGCGAACTGGTATGAAGTAGTCCCATGAGAAGTGGAAACGAGGTTTGAACTCATGAATTATGGCGTTGCTGAGTGGAGTTGTTTATAGTTCTTCAACGTTAACTGTCCTGAAACTCCAGATATGAGAAATACCCACAGAGGAGCTTTCCCATAACATCTCATACTGGACGTTGATTGGACTCTCAGTGCTGGACGCTGGAGGGAGGGATTTGGGGTGACTTTCAATGTGTAACTTTCGCACACTTTGGTTCAGATCTTGCCTTTGGTTCAGATCTGCTATCAATTCAAACTTAGTAAAACTACCTCTTCTCTAAGCCAATGGAGTTGCGGTTTTTTCTTTCTTAGGTTTGGAACAGAGGCAGGCCTGACACATATATTTATCTTTATCCCATGTTTTTCTTCAAGAGGGATATAGCAATCTTTCAGTCATGGATTAAGTTCTTGAATGCCCAAATTCTAGTATAGAGCAATCATCTAAATCCTATTTGTGATAACAAATAAGAGGGTACAACCCAAAATTAATTTATATTAAGAATACGGTTTTATGGCCTCTTCCTCAGCAGAAATTTAAAATTCTCATGAGGTGGTTGAACATGCATAAATAATGTATGCAGATCTAATTGAAAACTGCACAACGTATCCTAAACTTATAATTTTTAGGACCCAGGCATCCATTATGTTTTTACCCATGTTTTTAAACATTAGTGAAGAATATGTATAAAATGGGTTTTGAGGTGGCAGAATTGGAATTGAAGTGCCAATTCCAATGTTTCCCAGATTTAATCTATAGCAGTTTTCTGGATCAATTCAATCTGATCAAATAAGTGGTAGAGATATCAAACATTTCCTGGCAAAGTGAAACGCAGATGGATAAAGATACTTACTGCTAATATTGCTTAAGGATTATGAGCTATCTTCGGTGTTGGCTAAACTGATTTAAGATCAAGCCTGCTTTTTTTGCTGTTTCCATTTCTGCAATCTGTCTGTGGCATTTTCGTTTTGAGGCTAATACGCATTTGACATCAAGCAGATTTGGATTGCAATAATTCTGATAAGCAGGTATCTTAATGCCTTCTTATGAGTGGGCTTCCTATCTGAAAGTCCAGCTATATAGAATTCTGCATAAATGAAAGCTTTTCTGCAGTGCAATGTACAGTGCCCACAGATGCAGTGAAGAATGTTAGATTAAATAAGAAAGTCTTCTTCAGATAGCTCACAGTCCAATTACAACATAGGTAGTCCTTGACTTACAATTCATTTAGTGACCATTCAAAGTTACAACGGCACTGAAAAAAGACTTATGACCACTTTTCACACTTATGACCATTGCAGCATCCCCATGGCCATGTGATTTACATTCAAATGCTTGACAACTGGTTCATATTTATGACGGTTGCAGTGTCCTGGGGTCAGATGACCATCTTTTGAGACCTTCTGACAAACAAAGTCAATGAGGAAGCCAGATTCACTTAACAACCATGTTACTAATTTAACAACAAGCCAGATTCACTTAACAACTGTGGCAAGAAAAATCGTAAAATGGGACAAAACTCACTTAACAAATTTCTCACTGAGCAACATAAATTCTGGGCTCAATTGTTTTCGTAAGTTGAGGACTGCCTGTACTGCCATATTGAGAACAGAATCCGCAAATCATACCATTTGCAGCATACCATTGTGGAAGGTTCTCCTTATCACTGGATTAATAAATTGAATTTCCATTCTTTCCTTAAATCGATGAGTAATTGTTACATTATTATCCTGGTACAGAACAGTTATAAAGCTGAAGGTGCCTTCCTAGACCAGAAAGGCCTGCATTTTGTATTGCCAACATACAATTTGGTTTATGCTGTTTTCTAAAGCAAAGCCATTAATAGTTTGCCCTCTAAAATTAGGCCTAGCAAAATGGATATTGTACCAATGACTAGTTGAGAGGATATGTTAGTTTCTCCTTTAAATAGCTTCCTGATTTCAGTTTCCATCTCATGATTGTCCAACTCTTTAGATGTATTTGCACTTTTTAATATAAGTTGTATTTACTGTATGTTATATATGTTATATGTTGAGCATATTTTTGAATATATGTATATCATAGATATTAAGAATATATGATGCATCAAAAATTTAAATAGGAACAAATTAGGAATTTACAGCCAAGTCTTTTATTTCTCTTTTGTTATTCTCTGAATAATCCCCTTACTCCTTATACATGCCCATTGTAATGAAATTTGTTTCTATTAGCATAATAGAAGGCATTTTTAAAAAAAACAAAAACAAAACAAGAGTCTTATCAGAGCTATAAAAGTTCATTAACTGATTTTTTTCTGATAGCAACAGCCCTCCCTCTCCCTAATTCTGTAAGTATTTATATGTATATAAAATTATCAATAGACTTATTAACACAAAAATGCCTGCAGAACTGGGACCCTTTGTTTTAGAATAATAAATTGAATTTAAAACAAAATCATCACACCTTGAAAACATAATGTGAGTAATAATTAGTCTCCTTTTGAGAATGAAAATAGTCCAACAATCATGCCTGCATAATTTATCACTGAGCAATGAATCAAAAACAGTAGAGCAATCATGATAAAAATGTAATCCAATGATCTTGAATGAGAGAGAACTACATAATGTACAACAGTTCATTTTAATGAATTTCTATCTTTTTTTTCTCAAAACATCACTCCTCACCCAAATTAAGTAAAATTATTTTTAAAGAGAAACACCATCAAGTCACAAACAGGCCTTTTATTACTGCTACTGCACCATCTTGACATGCAAGGAACTATGTAGTCAAACTGTAAACAGTTAAATCTTTTCCCTTCCTGGAAGAAAATGAAAATATAATATAAACACCAATTATATTTGTATACCTTTTTTAATTAACACAACTCCACCACTGGTAAGAGTTTATACCTCTGTGCATAATTACTGCAATAGCAGCTCTGCAGACTAAGAACTGCTGTTCTGTTCTTCCCCGGGATTTTAACAAGTCCACTGGAACACGTAATCTGCTATTACCAGTTTTGAGTACATACCAACTTCAACTAAAATTGTGCATGAAATGTACACTGCAATGAGTAAGATTAAGTAAACAAATTAAGTACTTAAATAGCATTTCTATTATTTAAATGCATTTTGGTTTTTTTTTTAAATTTGAGACCAGGAAGCCTAAAGAGCATGTTATCAAAGTGATTAAACCTCTGAAAGACCTTTTCTCATTATATATGATGTGAGTCCTCCTCATATTTAGAGAACTGTATTGTAGCGGGGAGGGGGGGAGAATCTGTGTATGCGTGGGTGGGGGCTGGCAGAAGGAAACACAGGAAAATGGCAAAAACCAGATCTCCCTTCTATGGGAACCTAATTAAATCACAAAACCTTTCATCAACAAAAGAACGGCTGCTGAAAACATAAAGTGTATTCACAATTAAGCAGCAATTATGAAGCAATAAAAGTGTATCATAATTATTTGTTTTCAAATATCTAGATCACTGGTTCTCAGATTATGGTCTAGGGAACACCAGTGGTTTATGAGGTACTGCAGGTGGATCCTTGTGAGAGTATGGCCAAAATATTGGGGCACTGCCACATCTTATGCGATTCTGGCATAGCCACCCCAAATTTCACAAGTTTCAAATGAGCAAAAATGCACTGAGATTTGGAATACTGCAAATATTTCAAATATGTGAGTTTTTAAAAAAATAAGTTTTATTTAATGTTGGGGTTTTGTGGACACTATAGGAAGATATGTATCCTCTGATGCCTACGGGTATCACTTTGTTCTCCCGTAGCTTATGAGGTGAGTTTGGATGAAGTAGTGGTCTGCATAAAGAAAAGGATGGAAATTGACACGCTAAAAATTGTTTCCTTCTTGCTTTTGGTAGGCAATTTGGTAACGGCCTTTCCTAAAAGCCAATCCAGCAGCCTTGAAGAAGAAAACTGTTAGAAGGCCATTGGATACTTCAATGTATGTTTTATTAAAGGAGAAGAATATATATTTGCTTCTAATAGGGGAGATGACTTTTAATAGCGGCAATAAAGGAGAGAATATAGTCAGAGCAACATTATTCGGTAAGGATTATGATAATGATTTTCCCATTGGATTCTAAGGCTAAAATCTGCAACAAGCTTTAAGTCCACAGATTTCATGGACCATCAGTATTATCAGTATTAATGCAGAATTCAAGGCAGTTTTATGTAGGAATGTAAGGTTTTTCAACTCCACCCTCTCAAGTCTTGCAATTCTTAAGATGGTTGTTGTAAGGGGTGGGGGAGAAGAATAGTTGTGGATACATTGCTGACGTATTGGTTTTTCCCCCCTCTTAAAATGAGATAGTTTGGCAAGGAATACAGGAATGAGCTTTCTGCTGCATTCTACATTTTGAACTCTTATACTTTACCCTGCTTTTGAAAGATCTTTTGATATTAATGTATCCACATTTTTACTTATTGAAATATATGTATTTTGTTCTTGTTATATTTGGCTCACTGAAATACATGTTTGTATTTCTAGCTCAAGTTCTATTGTCATACCTGGCAGTGATAATATTTACAGTATATCCTTAATTATGTCAGTTCTTGTTTGATTTAATTAAATGTGCCTAAATAGTGATCAAAGTGAAACACTGGTAACCCATTACTTCTAACTATGTAACGAGTCCTTCAAAATATTTAACATTTCAATAATATATTTCCTTTCCCATTATAAAGCAATTTATAATTTTTCCTTTTTTCATGGTAGGGATACTAAAAAATCATGGAGGAATATTTTATATTAGTACTGATGTTAGAATATTTTCTTCAGGTTCAGCCGATATATTCACATTGCCCATTAGAACTTTGGGGGCTCAGTGGGAAGAAGACACGTTAATTCATCTAAGCTTGATACTTCTTACCATCATCTTTGCCACCATCCAGAGATTGCCTCCATAAAAACTGAGGCTGTATTTTAGCTTTCAATGGAAGCTCTTTAAAAAAAAAAGGTTTGGGGGGGGGGTCAGGCAGAAGAATAAAACATTACAGGATATACAAATGCATTCTTGTTTTCTCAGACGCAAGTCCCTTGACGGGTTGAAAGGTGATGCTTGCGATTTCTGATTCCCAAACTCTTATCTTTAGACTCTGAGGGCTTCTGTTGTGAAATGTCTATCAGTGCACTTGCAATTGCCAGCCCTGTAAGAAAAGATAAAAAGAACATTGTAATACACCATAGTAAAAATATTTTCACAGCTTCCTTTATTCTTTCATGTTCAGGATATACATACTGCAGGTTTTGAAAATGCTTTGGAAGATTTATTTCAGTCTTTGCATGAGGATGGCACCTCAGTATTACCATTTAAGGCAGCCATGTCTTTTTACAAACATTTGTATGAGTATTCATAGGAGACAAGATTAAAGCCAATGAACTGATGTAATGAATAGCAGAACTTTTTGTAAGGTCTTTTTAACCAGAGTTTCAATCTATGACACCTATTCAGTTCATATCTGTTTCTGAGCGAGAAATAAAATTTCTAACTTCAATGGAGTAATTCAACTTATTATTAACATTCATGTGAGTTCTGTAAACTGTACAATGGGAGTGAATGCTATTTCACTGGAAAACAGTAATGAAATTATTAAGATTAAAATACTAAGGTTGGCTCTGAATTTGAAATATGCTGCCATAACTGGTTCTTCAGGTCAGTGATGTGGACACCTGGCTTTCCATCATGCATGCATATGTCTCCCAAGGCACATATATTCTCCTATTTATTTATTGTAATGGCATTATGTTCTGTTGAACTGAATTTTGAGTTGAGTTCATCCATTCTGAGAAGGCTCCAAGGCAAAATGAGCCTGCCACTGAAATAGCGTTTCCCCCCAGCTTTTCAAGTGGCAAGTGGGTTGAGGAAACTGGGCGTTTAATGTACTGTTTTGTTTTGTTGTACCTCGCCACTATACAAAACATATATGTGGCATATTCAAAGTTAATTAAATACACAGCTATAATCAAATCCGTTTTCAAATCAATATTCCTGGCACAAAATTATTCTTAACTGAATGTTGCATTTATTTCAGGATGAACTTATCAGCAAAATATATGCAAACAAAGTTATAAGAAAAAATTCTTCTTGACATTCTTCTGATGAAGTAAACATGTACTGGGATTTAGAGTCTGCCTGTGTTACTGCAAGTATCTATCATCACTGGGCATACTGACTAGAGCAGTTGAGAATTTTACTGCAGCAATACTCAAAAGTCCACAAATAATTTTATTCCTGTGTAATACCCATAGCATGACTTTAAGATATTAAGAAAACATCAAACCTCTAATCACGGCTACTGAAGAAGAATTCTTATTGATCTCTGAATTCTAACTCATGTCTTTACTCTTAGTTTAAGACATTCATTGTCTTAAACCATGTCTTAAACTTAAAAACTACTTTAACCATAGAGTTATTTTCATTAATATCAGATACAGAATGCCTTACTGTTAGTCTAGTAGAATGTTTCCTCATGGCCATCTCAATTATTCCTTTATAAAAAGGTTTTATTTTACAGGAAGGATGGCAACATGCAATCTCAAAGTGGGATATCATCTCCAAAATAGTACTTGAAATTTCTGACTGACTAGGCCACTGATTTAAGCATTATGATTTCCCAATTCTTAAAATCATATAAAATGTAGCTTATGAGCTAAAATAGAATTAATGTAATTAAAAAATAAAATTTCAATTCCATAAATACAATTGTCCCAGGTTGAAGCCATGTATTATGGCTTCCATCCATACTGTATCTCTTCTCCACTGTGCCACCCTCTCTCTTGTGCTGTTTGGGTCCATGACAGCTCAGTGAATAGGCCATTTTATTGTGACTGCATTCAATAGAAAGTAATAGAAAGGAGGGTAAGGATGGGAAGAGGCATGGAACAAAAACCATAAATTGAGCAGAGATGCGACGTATAAGGGAAACCAATACAAAATGCTCCACAGGTGGTATCTAGCACCTGCCAGATTAACAAAGATGTTCCCTAACATGCACCCAAATTGTTGGAAATGTGGCCATGGTCAGGGCACCTTCTTTCACATGTGGTGGACATGCCCCGAAGTGAAAAGATATTGGAGTAAAATTCGGAGATGGTTACAAGAAATAATTGGAGAAAATATTGAATTGATACCGGAAATATTTCTCCTGGGAATAGTAAAGAAGGGGTATGGAAAGAAAATGATTCACCTATTAATACATATAACCACAGCTGCCAGACTGACTTACGCACAATACTGGAAAGAGAAAGCCCTGCCACCAGAAGAACTTATAATTAGGAAAATACTGGAGTGCGCAGAGATGAGCAAACTAACCCATGAAATAAATAATGATGAGAACTCAGATTATTATACTGTGTGGGGAAGGTGGTATGAATGGATAAATGATCAAATCAAAGAAGGAGTAAAAGGTGTTGTAACTAAATAGCAATAAACAGCACAAATGACACCAGGTAGATATCATGTATTCATGTATAAACACTGCATATCCAATGTTAAACAGAAATGTTACTATATGTTAGGTAAGTCAATAAACTATCTAAAAAAAAAAGAAAGGAGGGTAAGATCAGTTTATTAAATGCAGGATAATTCTTTGGTTATTCTGCTTCTACAAGAGAACAACTGACACCCTAGAATAATATTAAATAAAAGGGATTAAATATGCTTCTCAGTGATCCTGAAGATGATACTTTCTCAAATTCATATTTTGCTACAGAGGTTTATTTGTGTGCTATTCCATTTATTTTGTTTAGGACAACAACTTGAAGGAATCATGCTTTTCAATCTAATATTGCGTGCTGGGACCTACTGAAATGCTGGTAAAGTTCCATTAAAATCAGGTCACTCCAGAAGATCATTTCTCAAAGCATCACACAAATCATCCAAAGAAATTTACTTACTGTTTTCTCTAGGTTCAATACCCTTTCTTGTTATCAAAGCAATACAATTAACTGGGGGATCAATTCATTATTTTACACTGGCATCTAAAAGAATTTCATTTACCAAGTCAAAATGATGCACATATGCTGCTAGCAAGTAGAATTTACATCAAAATGCTACCCAAGAGTCAATAAAAATGCTGGGGCTTAAATATTTATTATATGCTTTACCTTTATTTAATAGGTTTTCCCCCCCAAGATAGTTAATATTATTGGCTGGAAATGTAAATTCTATGATAGCTACCATTTATTTCCCCTATTTCTATAGCTTGTTTAATTTACTTTCCCTTCACACATTCCCCATTTGAAAATACCTTCCTACTGAGCTGACTGCTCTTATTTTTCAACATTGAAGCCATCATGTAAAATTAACATGGCTCAATGCCATAAATCATCTGCCTAGTTTTTTAACATGTAGCTACTGAGGTTCATCTAGGAATGAGATCTGTCTATTCCAACACACTTTTATCTGGCATTCTCTGGATGAATTGGGATTCAGTTTTTAAAAAGAGCCTTGGTACTACAGTGGTTTAAAGCACCCTGTTATTAACACAGCTGCATGCAATTTACTGCTGGTTCGAATCTCTCCAAGGCTCAAGGTTGACTCAGCCTTCCATCCTTTCTAAGGTAGGTTAAATGAGGACCCAGTTTGTGGGGGCAATAAGCTGACTTTGTATAAATATACAAAAGTATGAAGGCTATTGCTTAACGCACTGTAAGCCGCCCTGAGTCTCCGGAGAAGGGCGGCATATAAATCAAATTTAAAAAAAAAATGGCTTGAAATTGGGAAAACATATTGTATGAAAGACACCTGTCGTGAAAATATGTTAATTGTCATTATGTACAAAGTGGGTCTGGTTATTTTGATGAATTTTGCCTAAAGATCAAGAATAGCTTCTTTTATCAAATGCTTACAAACAGACATTAAATGTGTGCCCAATAAAATAAAAGTGGGAATTTACTATTATTAATAAAATAATGTTACATGTATTTGAACAGAGAGAAAACCAGTGTTATTTAGGTTACACATTGAAATATAACAGTCATCTTGAAAGACAGTATGATGGTAATAGTTAAATAGTGAATTTCTAGGCATAAAATTACTTGTGTGCATGTATGTGTGTGATGTTTAAGCTATTTATAGCAATTATGTAGAACAATTAATACATATAGAAATAAAATGTACCACATCAAAGCAGATTGCTTTGCAAGGTTTGTAATTTAGATATAAGTGCAACATTGAACATTTCATTAGAACAATAGACATTGAAAGTGCTTTCGTTTTGAACGAGTCTTTTCTTTCCAAAACTTTTGCAAAAGAAAGGCTGTATTATACGTTTTATTTTTTTTTTCCAGCAAAACAGCTTCATTAGGCACGAAAGGTTAATTGTAGCCTTAAATGCAATTCAAGCAACAACACGCAAGTATGTGGTGAATGGAGCAGCTTGAGAGAAGAAGCAGCATGCTATAAACTGTTTGCCCCGCTGAAATGTTTTACTACCTCATTTACTAACTGTCTCCTTTTACTGCTTGTATTCGTAGTTCGTTTAAACCTTTAATAGCTACAGTTTTATTTCAATGTAATCAGATTTAAATAGAAATACCATGGCTGAGGATATTTAAATGTTTTCCTTCTTTGCTGTTTTATACAGATACACACTAACTGATGCAAGATCCCATTATCTTCCAGAATAAGAAGGCAACACTATATACTTCAGCCTTCTTGGTGTTGGATAATGCAAGCTTTTCCCTTTCTGCTATTGTTAATTTTAATTAAAAATTTATCAAGTTCACATTTTTCTCCTTTGTTCGACTGAAGGATGTTAAAGATGACCTGCTAAGTTTGGTTAGGAAGGTAATTGCAATATATTATTGTAACATATCATCCTGGACAGATAACTTTATTAGATAAGATTACATATTCAGGCATTTTCACATTATTATGCAGAATCTGAACATTCACAATACAGAATAGAGGTATAATAAAGCACACAATGTTTTAGATCTTTTAACCAAATAAAAGAGAATGACCATTAAGTAATTAAATGAAATAATTAAGAAGAATTGAAAAGAGAAAAGGTGCTCCCATAATGCTAGTAGAAAATCAAATGCTTCACCCATCAAAATTGTTCCATCATTATTGCAATTTTTCATTTTATTTCTCTTGCTTTAAAAGCTATTGTAACATGGACAGTAAACTAAATGTAGCTGC